TAGTATTTCTCTCTAGTAATGGTCTGGCTTATTAAATGTGTTCCTATTTTCCTCCACCTCTGGTGAAGAGGATTCTTATAAAGAAGCATGTTGTTCCTAGGTATTTACCCCAAAAATAGAAAGATACTAATTTATAGGGATACATGCACCCCGATGCTTATAGCAACATTATCTACAATAGTCAAGTTATGGAAACAGCCCAAGTGTCCATTGGTGAATGGATAAAGAAGATGTGGTATATATATATATACAGTGGAATATTACTCAGCTATGAAAAGAATGATATCTTGCCACTTGCAACGACATGGATGGAGCTAGAGAGTATAATGCTAACCAAATAAGTCAGTCAGAGAAAGACAAATACCATATGATTTCACTCATATGTAGAATTTAAGAAACAAAACAAGTTAGCAAAGGGAAAAAAAGAGAGAGAGAGGCAAACCAAGGCAACAGACTCATACCTATAGAGAACACACTGATGGTTACCGGAGGGGAGGTGACGGGGGGATGGGTGAAATAGGTGATGGGGATTAAGGAGGGCACTCGTTGTGATGAGCAGCAGGTGTTGTATGGAAGTGTTAAATCACTATATTGTGTACCTCAAACTAATATTATACTGTATGTTAACTAACTGGAATTTAAATAAAAACCTAAAGAAAAAAAAGAAGCTTATTGTTGGAAGGTGTCTTCTTTACTCATGGCATATTATTATATCAAAATTGGTGATAACCCAGAACAGTGTGAGCAGCTATGACCATATTTTGCCCCAATGATCTTGACATTTTCAGAATGTATTTAACCAGTTAGAAAACAATATAAAAACATAAAACTATATTATTATAAATACATATATATATTCTTAGAAATGCTAACATTGTGAGGAAAGAATATACAAAATGGCCGTAAGATAGAGTTTGTTGGGATGCCTGCGTGGCTCAGTCAGTTAAGCGTCTGCCTTCGGCTCAGGTCATGATCCCAGGGTCTTGGGACTGAGTCCCACATCAGGCTCCTTGCTGTGCAAGGAGCCTGCTTCTCCCTCTGCCTGCCTCTGTCTCTCTCTCTCTGATAAATAAATAAAATCTTAAAAAAAAAAAAATAAAAAAAAAGATAGAGTTTGTTGGCTTTGTATTTGCCTGCAACATTTCTGATTTTTGAAGACCTGTTCTAAATTGCTCTTGGCTGTGCAAAGGTTTTGACTGCATTTCTTAGTATGACTTGAGGCTCATCCCTCCTTTTGTGAAATATGAAAGCTGGCCCATTGAGCTTTAAGATTTTGTAAGGTGGGAAACTGGGTTCAGATTGCTTTTCATCTACCCTTAACCTGGTGCTGTGGCCAAGATGCAGGTATAGCTTCTGATACTCTTATAGCAACCTGTTTTTTTGAGAGACAGTAGAAAAGAGTGGGGACAGGATCCTCTTCTATTTTTCTCTCCTTCCCTGCTCTAGGTCTCAAATTGTCTTTTTGGAAATATGACCTCCTTGAACAAAAGGGGATAGGAATTCCCAGAGCCTAATTTCACTATGGGGAACTATGTAGGCCTCTGAAGAGGAAGGACATCAATTTCTTCAAACGCTTTATCCGTACCTCACTCAGGTTACTTGGCAATTTCTCAAGTGTTTTATAGTTATTTTTGTTCTCACCTTTTCATCTTTATTGGTGTTTTCTATCAGTGCAGAACATTCTCTGCAATGATGGACATGTTTTATATTTTCATTTTCCAAATCAGTAGCCATTAGCTACATGAAGCTTTTGAATGCTTGAAATGGGCTAATTAATATGATGGGGGAACTGAATTTTAATTTATTTAACTTTAATATTAGTTAATTAAAATTTTTTTATTTGACTATAGTTGACACAATGTTACATTAGTTTTAGGTGTACAACGTAGTGATTCAACTTCTCTATACATTATGCTACAATCACCACAAATTTGCTACTGTCTGTCACCATACAACACCTTTACAATACCATTCACCATACAACAGCATACAATACCAATCCCTGACTATATTCCCTGTATCTTATATCCCCATGACTTATTCATTCCATAACTGGAAGCCTGTATCTCCCACTCCTCTTTACCCATTTTGTCTGAACCTCACCCTTCTACCCTCTGACAACCAGCAGTTTGCTCTCTCTATTTATAGGTCTGGTTCTACTTTTTGTTTATTTATTCATTTCTTGTTTTACATTCCACATATGAGTAAAATCATATGGTATTTGTCTTTCTGTTTGACTTATTCCACTTAGCATTATACTCTCTGGGTCCATCCATGTTGTCACTAATGGCATGATCTCATCCTTTCTTATGGCTGAGTAATATTCCACTGTGTGTGTGTGTGTGTGTGTGTTTGTGTGTGTGTATACATACACACCACATCTTTATTCATTCATCTATGTGTGTACACTAGGGTTGGTCCCATATCTTAGCTATTGTAAATAATGCTGCGATAGAAATAGGCTGTATAACTTTAATTAATTTAAATTTAAATAGCCACAGGTGGCCAGTGGCTACCGTGTTGGAGAGTACAGATCAACTTAACAACATGGTCTGTATTTGATGTACTTCTTCCTGTCTTACTGGAGTATGCCAGTTTACTTATCTGATGTTTGGTGAAACAGGTGTATTTGTTAACCATGTTGCTTCCAAAAGTACATGTGGCTAAGCTGGCTGTGCAGTTAGAAACTATACAGTTTTGAGTTTGAAACTAAAGTTGGTTTCTGATGGTTAGTATGAAACTGGAATTAGATGCTTCAAATTCTTTTGTGCCTTCCTGAAATTTATTCAAAGTGAATCTAAAAAGCTGATAAAACCACCATAACTACAAATTCTAGATTTACCTTAACATTCTGCAAGTGTCAACATTCATGTTTGAGTAGGAAAAAACAGGGGATATTAGCTAAGAGTGTTACTTCCAGTAACTCAAGGACAAGGAAATCTCTGTGATAGAAACAGGGCTGCCTTAATCATGCTGGTAGGTGCTTATTTTTATATATTTTTCATTTTGATTCTTTTGAGTGGATTCTTGTTTACCATCCAAGACTTGTCAGTAATTGGGTATAATAAACATAGTTCATTTTGAATTCATGGGTATTTTGTTTATACTCACAACACAGCATCACACTGGGAACTTTAGAAATATATCAATAACTTTTTATTTCAAATCATTGCAAGTTTCCTTTTTTGGCAACTCTGTTTTTTCTCTCATGAAGCCTGTATATCAGGACAGCTAATTTTGGTGTTAACTAGAATATAAGTTCCAAAATATTACCAATCTGGCTCCTGGCAGATTTGATGTAGTGTAATGATGTATCTATGATACTGTAATTTAGGTAGCAGAAAAAAAGTAAATGACTCCCTCAAAATAAAGGTCTTTTGGGGATGGATTTTTGAAACTTATTGATAATTTAGTAAATTTTTGAAACTTGATATTTAGTAAATTTATGGTCTAGGCTAAATTGAATCTGAGCACATTAGTGAGCAAAATATTCATAATGAGGACTTGTTTGTTGAAGTGTTATATTATGAGCAGGATGTTCTTCTAAGCCTATACGGTATAAGATAGAGCCCCAGGGTGAGAGGCTTACCCTGTAGTTGGGCAGGTAGGAACTACACGTAAAAAAAAAAAAAAAAAGATAATTCACAATATGTGATAGTGTCTCAGATGGTAAGTTTTGGGAACTTTGACAGAAGGGTAGTGTTTCCTAAGGGTGACTGGAAAGGTAGGATTTGAACTGGATTTTGAGGAAGCTAGAGAGAAGCAGAAAGAGAAAAAGGAGGGCATTCCAGCCAAGGAGACCAGTGTGAGCTGAGGCCTGGATTAAGAATATGTATATGGAGTATTTGGGAATGAGGAATGGACATGTATGTTGGAATGCAGATTCCAAATGGGGCCCTTTAGGAGATAAGGCCATCCTGGAAGTGAGGGGCATGATGTGTAGGGCATTGATTGCTGGGCCAAGGAATTATTTTGAAGGGAGTAAGGAGCCATTGAACATTTTTGACTGGTGGGAAGATATGTGAGAAGTGAGATATTATGAAGATTAATCTTTGGAGTGGCGTACAGGTTGATTGGGCAAGGGAGTGGGAGAATTTAAGCAGTAAGAATGTGAGATGAAGACACTCTGCCCTTTCGTTGCTAACATTGGAATGGAAAAGCAAGGGATGACTTAAGAGTAGTAGCTTTTCTGGTATATGAGAATTAAATTGATATTTATTTGTTGCCCTGTTGTGACTGAAAGTTTTCATGCCCGAGTAACTGGAGAAGCAAATGTTTTGGGTCTGGTGGGCTGATTTGAAGGAAAGATGTGTTGAGTTTTAGATGTTCTGAGTTCCAGGTAATGGAAGGACCTGTAGATGTGAGGTTCACAGGTAGTTGAAGATGAAAAGGCTGATGCTGGGTCTCAAGTGTGGAAGCCATCTAATCTCTCTTCCACAGGGTTATCAGTGAAATTCATGATAGTGGGTGCGAGAGAGCTGCAGACTGCTGACTGTAGCCTGGAGACGTCTGGGGTGGGGAGAGTGAGAAGGGCCAGTGTGTCGCATGATGCAGAAAGTTCAAGGAGAAGAAAACTGAAAGAAGACCACTAGATTGAAGATCCTTGAGAACTGAGAGCGATGTTTGAGGGGAATAGTTAGAATTGGTGACTGAGTAGGTGATAAATAAAAGTAGGAAGTGAACATACATGTTATGTTCTCATTGCTTCTTTTGTTGCCTGCTTTTCAGTCCTTTTTCTGAATGTCCTGGCAGGGAGATAGAAGGAGGTAGAACTCAAACTGTCCAAACAGTTGCCTGTTAAGAGACTGGAGATTGGTTATAGTAACTGGTGATCCTCAGTAGGGTAAAACCATTAGTTATTTGGATTCTATATATATTGACCCTTATTCTTGACAATAACTAAAATTTGTTTGCAATTTTAATGAAAATAAAAATGAGCATTGATGTTACTGGAAATTATATTTCTACTAAATACTACTTTTTTTTTTAAACAATCTCAGTTTTTATGCAGATTTTGGACCTCTGAACTTGGCAATGGTGTACAGATACTGCTGTAAACTAAACAAGAAACTGAAAGTGAGTATTATGGTGATGTTTATATTTTGGTATTAAAAACTGGAACTTTGAAATCTGACCACTGGGATTGCTGTGCACACACCATTTAGTTAGGTAATCTTGATCTTTGGATATTTATATGAGTGGTTCACCCAGAAGTTGAAACTGATCCACCTGAGTATGCCATAAAGGACAGGTTAACCTCTTTCATTTTTCAGGATGAATTGAAATGTGAACTGCAATGAAGTCATTGGAATAGTGATCTAAGAAAGAAAGCACAAGTCCTTTCAGGTTGTTGTTTAATGAGTCTATCAAATTCCTTCCTAGGATGATTTTTCTGAAACCAGGTGATGAAGGGGCTCATCACCGCATGGCAGGAGCTCTGGAGCTTTTCCTAACTGATCAAGATAGAAATTTTTACGTATTTCTTGAAGGCCATCTTTGTAGAGTTAACAGCCAAGTGAAATTGATGAACTAGTAGTGATACAAGAGGGACTTTACCTGTTATGATAGAATTTGGGTCATACATACAGTATTCATCTATATTTTTGATTTTACATGTTTTTTTTTTCTCTTAAACTCTAAACATATATGAAGAAAAGCAGTATGTATACTCCTGGTTTTGGTAAATTTATTTCATCACATAGAAAGAAATATTTCTCTTTTTCTTCCAATTTTCTAAATGAGGATCTTAAATGTAATGTTTCAGTTTGGAAGGTCAAATACTACACAGCATGCTGTTAAAGATGACTGCTAAATTACAATGCTCAGGTTGTTTATTCTTTCTGCTGGTTAAAATGTTACTGGTGTGACATAGTACTATGCCTTGTACATATTAGCTGCTTGACGATTATCTTTTGATTTGATTGATTTTTATTGTACTTAGGTAGAAAAGACAGTGTATGGTGGAGAATTTCCTGTAAAATATGTGTGTATTTATGAATTCACAGATTTTTGCCATTGATCTGAAAATGCTAAATGGTCATGAATGAATGCCAAAGAAATATTTTTTTTAGTCAATCATTGTATAACATAAGATCTGTTGCAATCAACTGTTTAAAGAATTAATTTGTAAAGTATTAGCTGACTTGAAAATATGTATGTAAATGCCTTTAACTAAACTGATCTACATTTTGCAGAAAAGAAGCTACTGCCTGTAGGTTAGAAAATAAACTTGAAACTTTTATAATCACCAAGGAAGCAAATAATATCCTTAAAAGGATTTAAATATAAAAATATAAAATGAATTTTTAGTGGGTGAATTAACAAGGAAAGGATAGTTCATAAATAATTGAAGCTTATTTCTTCCTTTTGAGGACCTAGGAATTTTTTTTGCTTTCTTGATTAGTCCTGTTAGTATGTAGTTGGTATGAACTGGTAATTAACAATTTGCGACCTATTATTTAGAAGATTGAAGAGAAGAGAATCATTATTTTGAAAATAAAATTTTTGGTCTGACTTAGTGTTCTTATAGCAGTCACGTAAGAGTAGATGGCTTGAGTAAGACTATTTTTCTGCCATATTTGATACCAACCCTGTAAGTAAGTGTATACATGGACTTGTTTCGATTTGTTTGCATTTACAAAGCTTTCTTTCAACATTATATGAAAGTTTAATAGAGTTTAGCAATCCCTTGTTTCATTTCAGCGATCAGGTAATCTGATGGATTCCTAGAAGGACCTTTTTAGCTATAATACAGCTAGTGGCACCCTGTTACTTGCTGAAGGAATGAATTTTGAAGGGTTATTTTGAAGCATCCAAGTACAATCTCTATGTTAGGAGAAAAAGACTGACTTTACCAATCCAAAGCTACAATTGCTTCAGCCTTGTGGAATCGCAGTTTCTTTAGCTATAACATAGGGGTTACAGAGCTCCCACAGAAGGGTGGTTAGGATTATATTAGAAAATATATGTAAAAAGTCTTTGCAGATTTTAACATCTTATGCCGAAGAAAGTTACTAATGGAACATTTATGACTTTGGGTAAGAAATAACAATAAGAGTTTTTCAACCCAGTTTATGAACGCCTTCTCAGCCCCCCTAGTATTATTTCCATATTCAAAAGCTGTCCGATATAATTTTAGGAGTGGAAATGACCATTTAGTCCAGCCAATTAATTTTATTGGTGCAAAAAGGGAGGCCCAGGAGAGTCAGGTGGCTTGGCCAAGGCTGCAAGGTAAAATGGGGGCTTCAAGGCTCTCGACTTATTCCTGCTCCTGTCCACCTTCGTTGCTAGCTGAGCCTCTGTGGTTTATAATCTTTCCAGGCGTGCTCACAGCACTGCCTGAGCTGACTTCACCTTGTTGTCCCATAGTGGTCTCGAGACTCCTCCGCCTCGTTTGCTCCAGTGACTCCGGCTGCTTTTCTTCCAGGAACCCAGACTCCAGGCTTTTCTGCTTTGAATGGATCCTTCTCGTTCCATACCTCCCACATTCTATCTCCCTCACCTTCATGTAATCTCCAGGCCCTCAGGCTCCGTATTTTCTCAGGCTCCCTGTTGGTGTTTTTCGTCTGCAGCCCGTGTTTACTCATCTTGGTGAGACCTTTGGGCACCTTGCTTCCATGCCTTTTGTCTTGCTTGCCTTGACAGCTGCCGCCCTTGGCGTCTTTCCTGGTGGATGATTTCATGCGCTTACTGATTTACTGCAGATCGCAGTACCCCTGTTGACTCCCAGCTGTGCACTTTACCCTGAGTCACACCAGTTGCTGCACACAATAGCTTGTGACGTCCAGTCTGACTTGAATGCCCCTTTTCTCTGGTTTGATCACTCCTTGTTCTTTACGCCTTCTAGGAGGCATCTCCTCGTCCTACGGAAGAAGGTGCGAGGTGCCTCCCGTTTTCCCAGAATTCTCTGTGCAGATTTCTATTATTGAAGAATTATAATTACCTGTTAGGTTAGCATTGCTCTCTCTCACTAGACTAGACACTCCTAGGAGATGGAGATATGACATATAATTCTGTGTCCCCAGTGCCCAGCACAGGGTCACCAGACCCACAGAAACTTCTGTAGATCTTATCGTGATCCCCTTGACTTCATGATCCGCTTGACTTACAGGTCCTCTTTTAGCCTTTTGCCTCTGGAGATTTCAGAATACTCTGCCCTAACTGTTTACATCCTCACTATGCACTGATTTCTTAATCCTTTGCTGTCTCACTTTTGCCTTACTTACCCTGCTGAAAATGCTCTGGTGACATTTTTTTTTAAAAAGATTTTATTTATTTGAGAGAGAGAGAGCACCAGCCGGGGGAGGGGCAGAGGGAGAAGTGGACTCCCTGCTGAGCAGGGAGCCTGGTGTGGGGCTCAATCCCAGGACCTCAAGACCACGATGGGAACAGATGCTTAACTGACTGAGCCACCCACGTGCCCCGCTTTGGTGACATCTTAAACACCAGATCTGATGGTGTTTAGTTGGTCATCAAACTCTACTTCTCTGAATAATTTGGCACTATTTTAACCGATTACAACTCCTTGGAATATTTCTCCTGTGTGGTTTCCTAGCTCTTTTAGGCATGTCTTATTTTCTACTTTGGCAATTTTTATTTCTTCCAATAAAGCTTTTTTTTTTTAAGATTTTTATTTATTTATTCATGAGAGACAGAGAGAAAGAGGCAGAGGGAGAAGCAGGCTCCCAAGGAGCAGGGAGCCCGATGTGGGACTCGATCCCAGGACTCTGGGATCATGACCTGAGCCGAAGGCAGACGCTGAACCATCTGAGCCACCCAGGTGCCCCTTCCAATAAAGCTTTTATGTTTTTTTTTCTCCTTTATTTAATACCTTATATAGATAGGTAATATTTTGCAGTGCATTCTACATTTTTTATTTTTATAATATCAAAAGGTATTTTTTTCAAGTTGATGATTTCAGGTGGTGATTTATTGCTATTTTTTATGTGTTAATATACATTCTATTCCCAGTGACTTTCATTTTAATTATGTTGATTAGAATGGAAAATTATCCATCAAACGTACTTAGATTCAAAAACCAAAAGTAGGGGTGCCTGAGTGGCCCAGTTGGCTAAGGGTTTGCCTTTGGCTCAGGTCATGTTGGGCTCCTTGCTCAGCGAGGAATCTGCTTCTCCCTCTTCCTCTGCCCCTTCCCTCAGCTCATGCTCTGTCTCTCACTCTCTCCCTTGAATAAATAAATAAAATCTTAAAAAAAAATCCACAAAACAAAAACCAAAAGTGGAAATCACTACCATCAACAAAAAAAACGATATTTTAAATTTTAAACTATATTTTAAAAAAGTGTAAGCACTAATTGTTGTGCAGTGATAGGTTGTAGTTTGCAATTTCTGGTCAGTAGTTACTGTAATGAGCTAAGCAGTCCAAAGAAGGAAGATTTATTGAAGTGAGAACAATTGGTAAAACTGTGTATGTTGTTTAATGTAAAATGCCATCAGTGATTGATAGGCTAGACCAGAATTTAGTAATTTGGTATTTTAAGAGTTCCATAAACCCCTGAAATTATATATAAAATTTTATGTGTATTTACATTTTCCTCTGAGAAGATGCATAACTTTTAAAACAGTTCTTTTTTTTTTTTTTTAAAGATTTTATTTATTTACTTGATAGCTAGAGTGAGAGTACACAAGCAGGGGGAATAGTAGAGGAGGAGGGAGAAGCAGGCTCCCCACTGAGCAGGCAGCCCGATGCGGGGCTCGATCCCAGGACCCTGGGATCATGACCTGAGCCGAAGGCAGACGCCCAACCATCTGAGCCACCCAGGCGCCCTAAAACAGTTCTTAAAGGGATTCTTGCCACAGACAATGGTAAAAACACTGGATTAGAATATACAGTCTTCTAAAAGGGAAGACCATTCTAACAATGCAGTGATATTTTAAAAAACAATACCTTCTTCAAATTTAGTCATGTAAGAAAATCTTTTAATGACTGATACAATAATAGGAAAGTTTTATAAACATGATTGAACTAGTTTTTCCTAAAATGGTCAATACAGTTTTTTTTTTTAAGATTTTATTTGTTAGAGAGAGAGAGAGAGAGCGAGCACAAGAAGGGGAAGC